CAGTGCCAGGAGTAAGCCGTGACATTTTTTGGCCCCCCAAACCAAAATCAAAAGAATCCAGATGGGGAAAAAAGGGGAACTAGGGGCTCAATGATGTGTGTCAGTTGTGGAGTACTTGCCTAAGAAGCAAGTATATAAAGAAAACATGTTTAGAAGCAGAATTTATTGGCCCACGTTCCCAAATGGTAGATAAGTGGGTGCTCGAAGCATCTGCTCTTTCTGTTCCTACCCAGGCCCCAGCTCCCCACTCCAGCCATCAGTTTTCATTCCGGGCTCTGGTTAGGGGAGATCCATGGGTGACTCCCTTCCTGTGTGTGAAAGCTGAGCGGCTCGGACAGGCCTGCCTGTGAGATTCTTACAGTTCAAAATCCCAGGACTCTGTGTCTTTCATTGTTGTGATGTCCCAGCAAAGGCACTTATGGAGCTGATGATCACATTGCCCCATGGCACTTGACTAGGCAGTGTTGGGTGGGGCGGGGGGAGTGGACGTGGGGTTTTGATCTACATGATGCTCGGAGTCACATCCCTGAGCAGTCCTGGCCAACTTACTTATCTTGAATAGTTAATAGTCACAAGACACAAAATTCAAAAATTCCAAAGGCTCTGTTACAGATGAAAGGAGACTAGAGAGGCGTGGTGGCGGACTGGCTGTGGTCTCCTGGACTGGCTCCAGGAAGCAACAAAGGATGTTGGCAAAAAACCCTGGTAAATGGGAAAATATGGCTTCCAATGAATAGCAATGCATTAGTGTTAGTTTCTTAGTTTTGACAAAATTATCAATACAAAATGTTCACGGATGAGGTCAATATGAGGAGAAATGAGGTGAAGGGAGATAGGAACTTTGTATAATCTTTAAAACTTTTCTGTAGATATGAAATTATTCTGATTAATGACTTAAAAATATTTTTGAAGCAAGAAAGCTTTTATTGTGATAAATATGTAAGGGGAGAGAAAAAGAGTACATGTTTGAGAGAGAACACAGGCTTTTCCAGAGTGGAAATAGGCAAGAAAAGAAACAGTGAGACAATGAGATGTGTTTAAGGAAGAATATGGGCTTGAAGAGCAAGCTCAATCGTTTGTTTTTGAATATTTAAAGTAAGAGTACAGGGTGAAATGTTTTCGTCTCACCTCTATGTTTGCAACCAGGCATCCCAGGTGACTTGTTTCCTAAGGAATCTTTCATAGACATTTCATTCACATTCAGAGAAAATATCTTTATTTTGTGACTATCATTTCTCAAAACAAAGCCTTTGAGCTGTGTTCCTAGAAGTGGGGTTTCTGGGCTCAGAGCTTTGACAAACAATTGCCCAAGAACATTCCACAGAGATACTGCCAACTCATCCTTCCACCTGACAATGGCGTGAGGATCTGCCATCGTAGCCGACTGTGAGGGAGCCAGTGTCCTCAGTGCCAGGCAGCTTTCAAGACATTTCTGAACAAACATCATCAGGACAGCTCTGTGAAGCAGCAGAATCGAGAGCCAATGATTAACATTCCTCACCTCCATCGGGTCCTCAGGAGAGATGTTCATGAAACTCCATTGTCTCTGTGCCACAGCACACAAAGGGTCAAGCCTCACAAATTTGCTCAGAGAAGAAAAAAAACCCCAAGCCTACAGGTCAAAGTGTTCAGATTACAGGTCCAGGAAAACCCCTTTGCAGAAAGAAGACAGCAAATCCCTAGTGCAGTTTAAAGGACAAAACTTTCTTCACCTCAGAGACTCTCTGATGAATAAACCGGTTAAACATGGTTTGGATTTACTGAACATGAAAACAACTGGATTAAAGTATAATCTAGCTAGAAAGGAAAGGAAATGTACCGAGAAAGCTAAGTAATGACAAAGATGCAGTGTTTTTATATGTGCCAAACAGGGAAGGCCATTCCAGTTTTATAACCAGACTCTTAAAGTTTAACTTTCCTTTAGATCAAGATAATGAAGTCTCTGCTTCCACTGGCCTCTTTGATATCAACACCAGTGGTAATGCCAAGGGTGCGACCCCTGGGGGTCTGATAGCTTGAGACTGGTGGCCGCCAAACCTTGGGTCTGTTCTCAGGGTCCATCCACATCACTCCAAGTCCAATGCAACCGAACAAGGGTTTTAGACTTAGAAAGAGGGTTTTAACACACTCACCTGGGCCACCACAATGGTGCTTGGAAGTCTTCAGTGTTGCACCCGGAAATGCTCAGGGAAACATGTGGTACCAGAAATTGAACTAGGGTCAGTCATGTGCAAGAAATGCACTTTAACTAACCCCGGTAGCATCTCTTCTGGCTTCATCTTTGGTTTTATTATTAGGATGATATGCCAGTAGAGATGAAGCTCAGCAGTAGGAGCACTTGCCTTGCATGTGAGGCCCTGGGTTTGATCACAATTGATCTCCTACCCCAAATGTATGTAAATACCTGCTGTTTTGCTTTGCTCTCAATTCTGCTCTGAATCCCCTCAGCTTCCTGGACCTGTGGTATGTTATCTTTAATTTTGGAAAATTATGAGTCACTATTACTTTAAATACTTTTTACCCCTCTTATCTTTTCCATCTGGCATCCCAATTACCTATTAAACCTTTTGAAATAATCCAAACTTCTGGATATTCTTTTTTCCATAACTTTTTCTTTATGTTTCACTTTGGGAAGAATCCATTCTTTCCTAAATCATATTCAGTCTACTGATGAGCCCACTGCACACATTCATTTCTGACAGTGATCGTCATTTCTACCATTTCCTTTTTTTCACATTTACATTCCTCTGATTACTCCTTCTGTTCTTGCATACTATAATTTTCTACTAAAACCTTCAAAATATTTTTTCAAATTCCCCATTTGATAATTCCAACATCTCTGTATCATATCTAACAATTGCTTTATTTAGACTTTGGTTCCTGGGCCACACCTGGCGGTACTCAGGGCTAATTCTGGTGCAGTGCTTAGAGGTGACCACCCTGGTAGTGCCAAGTTTCATGTGTCAAAAACCTAATCAAGGGCTTGGACATGCAAAGCAGCCCATCTCCCTGGACTACCCTCTTGAGACTTTTCTTTCAGTTTTTGGTTGCTCTGTAGTTTTTTGGGTTTTGAGGCACACTTGGTGGTGCTCAGGGCTCTGTGTTTCTGACTGTGTGCTCAGGAATCACTCCTGGCAGGCTCAGGGGACCATATGGGTTGCTAGGAATCAAACCCAAGTTAGTTACGTGCACGGTCAAGTGCCCTACTTGTACTATTGCTTTGGCCCAAATGTGTTGCACGAGGTAATGCAACTGAAGTAAACAGAATTGATTTGGAAAATATGTGGAAACCTGGCCAGGAAGTGGCCTGTTTAATGTTTGCTGTAGCTATAGGTACCAGAGGCTTCAAATTCTTTTAGTATCTTTTGTCACCCTCTTGAACTTTAGGCTTTCCCAGCTACTCTTCAGACTGCCTCGCAACGTCTAGCTGTAATCCACTGCCCTGGTCGGGTGGCGGTCAAGTGGGAGAAAGGAGGTGCCACTCTCTAATCTCTAGATTAGATCTGTTTTTGTGGGCCTCTGACCTTCACAAGTGTTTCCTTGCTGGTGTTTTTTTCCTCTTCTGTTCCCTCCTCCAGTGTCAGCAGCAGCAATTCCCAACTCATCCTGACATCCTGACCCTTTTTTTTCTTTGCTTTTGTGTTTGGTCACACCCGGTGAGACTCAGGGCTTACTCCTGGTTCTGCACTCAGAGAACCATCTGGGTGTGGGAGGAAGAACTCCAGTCAGCCATGTAAAAAGAAAACACTGCACCCACTCGCTCGGCCCCCATCCTGACCCTTCTTGACTGCAAGGGCTCTATCCCTTTAGGTGGCAACAGGAAGGATGGAGTAGGCCTTCGCAATGAAAATGATTCTGGGTATACTTAACAATGACAATCAATCCATCTCTCCAGTCACCAAGGAAACTTTTTGATCTGCACAGTGGTGATCTTCAGGGGCTCCTGGAGGTAGAACCCAGGAAAGAGTGTAAACCTAAGGTACTGTTTCCCTCTCTCACGGCAGTGCACTCTCATGTTTGATGACCCATCAGTATGAGCCATTAGCATTCTCGAGTACACAGCCCTGAGGGCTCCTGCTTCAGCTGGGCAGATCTGAGTTGTCTCCCCTGGGAGGAGCTTGACTCAGTCCATTTGGGAATGGCAGTTAGCCCTGCCACTATAGTTCTCTGATGGGTCCAAGAGAAACCACTGGCTTTCAGTTGACCAGTAGTTTTACTAAAAGGATCACACAAAGGTTGTGCTCTTTGGGTTGTATGGTGCCAAGGATCAAACTCAGGTGACATCCACGCTAGGCATGTACTCAATCACATAAGCTAGCCCCCCCCCCCCCAACTGTCTTCTTGTTGGGTGTAAAACTTTTAAGTCTTTTTCCATTTTGTAGCAGAAACCAGTTACCTTTGTTTTACTCTGAATGACCATGTCTTTCCCTCCACCTGAACTCCCATCTTCCATTTATGAGGCAGTGTCATTATAAAACAGTTCCTTGAGAAAAGAAATCAGCTAGAATTAGGTACCTTCTCCCTTAGTTAAGGTGGATAAAGCATGCTAGTATCCCAAGCCAAATCACAGAGAAAGCATGCATCTGCTAACTTAGAAGACAGTTATTATACCCTTGGCTAAGTTTGTTTAAACAAGTCACTCAGGTGAGCTACGAAAAAAATTCCTCTGAAGAAAACAGGAGGTAGGGTATTGACTTTATCTTAAAAGGCCTTTTAACAAGACTGACTTGAGATTATAAAGCATTTTTCAAACACACAAAGTGATTCATAACGACTCAATAAGCCTTAAGGAATGCTTTTTTTTGTATATCACTTTTTTTTGTCATTTAAAAGAAAATACCCCATTCAAAGGGTGGTGGCATATTTGATATCACGGCTGTTTAAAGAGGAATGGAGTTACAGGAACGAGGAGTATATAATTAGTAAATAATCCTTCTCAACAAGTGAATTAAGTAGTAAAGCCATAAACTGAAAAAGAAAAGCCAGAGGCAATACAATCAAGTGCATATCAGAAATGCATTTTTATTTGAAAACAACTTAAAATTTTAGACAAATGATTTTTAGTATATAAATTTGATTTTGTTTTTATACAGAATATAAAGATTTCCCTCATTGATCTTTCACACAAAGGGTAGTAAAGCCTGAAGGGAGGTACTTTCTGTACCCAAGTGTGTATCTTACATCTAGGGTACTGGGAACCAATGGTGTAGTGCTCCTACACATACCTTAGGTCAAGTGACATCATGTAGTAGAAAGGGGATCAGAGAAATGTTCTAGCTGTAATCAGATTGAAGAAGCAAATATGACACAACAACTGTGCAGAGAAGACCACGTCAGTAACTTTAGTTAGGACACTGCAGATTAGACTGGAGTAACAGGTTTTTGAGGCTAGAGTGTGCACCACCAAACAGCAAGGAAGAGCTATTTCTAGATAAAGGCTGGAATGAGGGATTCTCACCAAAGCAAATTAACTTCTTGTCAACTGCCAAAACAAAACAGAACAGCATATGAGTGTTAGTATACTGAAGGCATGTTATACCAGTTTCTGTGCAGCATGCTAAAAGTTAGTTACAACTTCTTCACTGGTGCATACGAATCATTAATAGTCAAGGAAAGTTTTTTTGCTCCTTCTTGCCAAATTTCAGGCATGTCTTATTTTAGATGGAGTATAGCTTTTATCTATTATTTCATCTTGTAAAAACATGTGAAGACATCGTTCATTCTGTGCCAGAGGATGACCAGCGACCCTAGGAATGAAAAATATAAATTTAGCCCAATATTGTGTAAAAAGTAAATAAGGTACCACACACATACTTTGAAATTAGAAAACATGTAAAATATAGTAGGTTAGCTATATTAAGTCCTATTCTGCCTCTGCACTGCTCATAAAGCTATGTTCTTTCAATGAATGATATATCTTCCTTCCTTTACTTCACTAGTATAAATTAGAAAACATTTAATCACTAGCTTCTGACCTACATACACATTTAGTTTCTTTACATATTGGTGCAGACCTAAGAAATCCAAATGAATTTCAATGTTACAAACATATACATTCTAAGAACTCCCATTTCTTTATTGAAACTCAGAGGATCCATACTTGTAGTTTAATGTTTGAGCCCAAAAAGCGGTGCTACTCCAGCCCTGCAGTGCTGGGAATTACCTGAGGAGTATGTGGTAGTCTCCAGGGATATATCTAGTGATACTTGAGAGGCCAAGTGGTGCCACCGATCAAATCCAGGTCGGGTGTATGCCTAGCATGCTAGCTAAGCATGTACCTTAATCATGATTTCTCAGCTCCAAGAATTCATTTTGATGGGGGTGGGGGATGGGAGGGATACTGGGATCCGTGGTGGTGGAAAATGGGCACTGGTGGAGGGATGGGTATTTGATCATTGTATAATTGAAATCCAAGCACAAATATTCGTAAGTCTACAACTGCACCTCATGATGTTTCACTAATAAAATTTAAAAAAAAATTCATTTTGAATAAGGAAAAGATTAGAGTTAGAAATGCAAGGAACTTAAAGCCCCCAAAACTAATAGGCCCAATTGTTTTGAGTCACTTTGGTTGCTGTTATCTTGCTTCGTTTTTGCTTGTTTTCAAACGTTTCCATCATAGGTTAGTACAGGAGTTTAGGTGCTTGCTTTGCCAGAGGTCCCTCAGCACTGGCAGGGGACACTCCTAAACAAAGACCTTAGAATCTTCTGAGCTTATTAACAGGTGTGTTCAAACCTTCCCGCCACCAAATAGAGAAAACAAAACAAAGAAACCACAATAAGATCTCTTTCAGAACTTAAAAATATCTAAGCTAGCATTGCATTTTAAGTACTTTTATTAAAAGATAATAAAGAGGCCTCAGGAGATGCCTCTATGGACTGGAGTGCATGATTTACATATAGGAGCCATAAGTTTGATTCTTGTGTTGCATGGTTCCTTGAGCATAACCAGATCTGACCCAAATCGGGTTAGGGGCTTGCACAACAAAGGGGGCCTAGGAAATAGTTCAAAATCCCAGGCACTAGAAGCCTCCCTAGGACTACTGGGGAGGCCCCCTCCCCACACCCTCCAAAGACAATGAAGGTTGGGTACAATAATATTTATAAAACAATGCAACTTTTCCTATTTACCATCACAGATTTTTAAATCACTAAATTAAAAAGAAGTACTGGGGGGCTAGAAAGATAGTACAATGGGCCTTACACCCATGTTTCATCCCCAGCATGATACTGAGCCCAGCAAGAGTGATCCCTGAGCAGAGAACCAGGAGAAAGCACAGAGCACTTGGGTGTGAATCCCAAAGAAATATTAGGTTGAGCAGGTAACTCCAGTGGCAGAACACATGCCTCGCCAGTTTGCATTGCCATGTCTCCATAATACTGTCTAGTTTTTTATTTTGTCTTCCAATGTACCACACAGGTGAGTTGAACATCAACACCCCCCTCCCCCCCGAGCAATGCTGAATGTGGCCCCTACTTAAAAAAAAATAATGAAATAAGCTCACACAACCACACAACTACATTTCCTAGGATCAAATCATAATGGGTAAAACTTAAGGCCAACGCAGTAAACCCTTTCCTCAGATAAGTTTCCTTATTACTTGGTCTTAAGAAATACCTGTATTTCCAGTGAAATAGAAATTCAGGCTTGAGAGATAGTATGATGGGGTAGGGCAATTGCTTTGCATGTGGCAGACCCAGGTTGATTCTCTTATAGTACCCCAAGTCGTCCAGGAATAATTCCTGAATGCAGAGACAGGAGTAAGCCCTGAGCAATGCTGTGTATGGGCCGCCACCGTGTCAAAAAAAAAAAAAAAAAAAAAAAAGGGTAGAAACTTGTATCATTCTAGGGGCCACACATAGTGATGTGTGAGCCAGGTATCAAACTCAGGGCCCTATACATGCAAGGTAAATATACTTGGGCCTAATCCCTAGCCCTGAGAACTAGAAAATTTTATCTGAGTTTAAAAGGTTTCAAATTAAAAGAACAAACTCATCTTTTCTTACATTTTGCAATAAAAATTTAAAATGTGCACCTTTTCCTAAGACAAGCTGATAATACTACTGCAATCAAACAAAATGATTACAAGTGTATTGTCTTATTGTTCATGCTAAAACATACCTTAAATCAGAATAAGTAAAACCATATTTTTTAAATGCTGTAATTTAAAATGTAATTTGCATAAATTAACCAAGGAAAACACAAAAACTTAGGTCAACACAAAGATATTCATTTCAATCACTCAAGTGTGTTACTATATAACATGTACTATTTGGCCTAATATATATTCTTACTTTAAGTAATCTAAAAAGTCAGGAAATGACCCAAAGAAAAAGCTATAGTTTTTTAATACCTAAATTACTAGGAATCACCTAAAATTATCTTGACATTGTTCATTCACACATCTGAGGGAAAAGAACTTACTTGTTTATAAACTGCTCCAGTCCTTGCTTCCTTTCTTCAATAAAATTGTCATCAAATATTCCATCATCTCCTCTAAAAGGAAGCTGACGCAAAAAAGCTTTCCCAGGGAGTGGGGGAACTACAACCTAAACAGAATAAGAAAGTTCACAAATACATGAACTGAGCTATGAAAATCTGTAAAAGCACAACATGAAGACAAAGAGAATCTACCACTATAAAACTCGTTTAAATCCTAAGGGGAATTAATAAAAAAAATTTGAAAAAAGATTCAATGTTTTGAAAGCAAGATAGCCAAATGCAGAATAGCTCATCAGACCAAAGTCTCTTGATGGCAAGACACAGCTTAATTATAATTTTCTCTGAAATTATCAAAGCACAAGTGTACAAAGAGAACATTCAAACAAACAAACAAAAAAAGAGATATTATGCCCCTCAGCAATTTTTGTGCCCATTGGGAAAAATTATGCTCTGTGACAAGGAGACTACAGAAATCAGAATCAACTCAAATAATAAAATAATGATATTCTCTCTGATAGATTAGAATTCTGTGGTCAATTACATCCATTCCATACCACTTGCAAATTAGTCTTTCCCACTTGTATTTTTCTCCTGTTGCTACTTTCCATTTTCTAAAATATTAAACTTTCTCCCAAAACCTTATTCTAACTCTAAGACCGCTCATTTATTCCACTCCATGCTTTATGGCAGTTCAAGTTTTCCTTCTTAAAGTCTATCTATTCTCTAAGGTCCACTTTTATTGATAGATATAATTCTCTCTGGCAATTATCTAGAATGCAAATATTTAAATGAAATAGCACAGAGCTAATTATATCAGAGTTTATTTTAGTTTCTCAAGCCTAGGATTTCTCAACCAAGGCACCATACGTACTGAACCAAATAATTTTTTATATGAGGTGCAGTCTTGTTACTGTGTTTGGCATATTGAATATGTCACGGGTAGCGATAGCACAGCGGTAGGGCGTTCGCCTTACAAGCAGCCAACATGGCCGACCTGAGTTCGATTCCTCTGCCCCTCTCGGAGAGCCCGGCAAGCTACCGAGAGTATTCGATATGCCAGACACAGTAACAACAAAGTCTCCAATGGAGACGTTACTGGGCCCGCTCGAGCAAATCGATGATCAACAGGAGGGCCTTTACCTTTTACCTTTACCTATGAGGTGCAGTGGCAGACTGCTGAATATTTACAATATTCTACTACTCACTAAACACCACATCTAGCTATAAAATAAAAACATTTCTCTAGGGGCTGGAGTACAGCTTGCCTTGCACATGGCTGATCTGGGATGGATCCCTGGTTTCCCAATATGGTTCCCTGAGTCCTACCGGGAGTGATCTTTGAGCACAGAGCCAGGAATAAGCCCTGAGCACTATCAGGTGTTGCTATAGTACTTGTAAAGAAAATAGATTATTTTTTCTTAGCAACAATGAAATAAATATAAATAAAACATACATACCAGGTGAACACCCTTTAGCTACTTACCTGGTCTAATATTTAAAGGAAGGATTTTATTTCAAAGGTCACCATTAAGAAAGTTAGAAACAGGGATGGAGATCATTTAAGGATAGGATCAAAGCCTGGGCCACTTAAACAGATCAGTGAGCAGGGCCAGGAGTAAGCCTTGAGCACAAGTTATATGACCATTCCACCATACCTCCCAAATAAACTGAGAAGCAAACTACAGAATGGGAAATTTTAATATAACATAATTTGAAAAAGATTTAAATCATTTAAAAATACATAGTCTAAGTACTAACTCAGTACAACAAAATACTTCAATTAATACGGAAAACAATCTGAGAAACATTTTCTCCAAGGAAGATAGATAAATGGCTAGTAAGTACATAGGAAGCTATTCAGCATAATTACCATCAATAAAAATAATAAAAATTACATTGAGGGGCTCAGAGATAATTAGTGGTAAAGGCAGTAAGTTTGATGCAAGTCTTGTATGTAAGAAATCCTGAATCTGATCCCTAGTGCTGTGACAACAACAAAACATGTTGAAGATACCACTTCACACACACTAATATAGTCATAAAGGAAGGGACCTGGGCTCAAAAGGTTGGACTTTGAGATGGGATCCCTGGCACACACTCGGAGTGGGGGTGGAGAGATAGTACACAGCATAAAGCACTTTCTTTGCATTCAGTCAAGCCCAACGTGATCCCCAACACTGTGGTTCCCTGATCATCATCAAAAGTGTCTCCTCAGCAGGAAGCCAGGAAGAGGTCCTCAACACCAGGGGTTATAGCCTCAAACCTATTTCCTCCAAATTAAAAAAAATCGCTTTTCTTATATATTTTATTGGAATAGTATGGTTTGTACATACTGCTTTTATGTCAAGGCATACTTACCTGATTCAGAAAGTTTTCCTTCACTGCTAGCTTGTTACGCTTCAGACATGAGCCCCCAAGCAAACTTTTTTTTCTTTTTGGGTCACACCCAGCAATGCACAGGGGTTACTCCTGGCTCTGCGCTCAGGGGACCATATGGGATGCTGGGATTCGAATTGGGGTCAGCCTCGGGCAAGGCAAACGCCCTACCCGCTGTGTTATCTCTCCAGATCCCCCAAGCAAACTTTAATCTACATTTTCAAAACACCTAGTATATCCACATCTTTCCTACCAGAATGCAGTAATTAAGTAGCTTCATTAGAAGACAAAATCATAGCACTTAGAACTTCCAATCTTGTCTCCAGGTCAGGACTCCTGCGAAGCCCACTTCCACTGGTTAGGACCCAATTCTGCTCCAATCCTAGTCCCAGTGCCAGGAACTCAAAAGTGTCTCAGAAGTAGCTAGGAACCTGCACTTAGACTTGCTATCTTGCGCCCAGGTCAGGACCCCTTCTTAACTAAATATTAACAAGTCAAATCCAACAGTTCATCAAAAAGGTAACACACCATAACCAAGTGGGATTCACCTTTGGTAAGGATGGCATTATATACACAAATCAATATAATATACCATTATCAATAAAATTCCATGACTATATCAATAAATGCAGAGAAGGCATTTGACAAGATCTAACACCCATGATAAAAACTCTCAAAAAAAGAGGGAACCGAAGGAACTTTCTTCAGCATAGTAAAAGCCATTTACCACAAGCCCACAGCAAACATTATACTCGATGGGGAAAAAAACTAAAGACTTCCCTCCCTCTAAGATCAGACATAAGACAAGTTTTCCCATTCTCACCACTTCTATTCAATACAGTGTTGGAAGTACTTGCTATAGCAATTAGGCAACAAGATATTAATGACATCCAGATAGAAAAGGAAGAAATTAAACTCTATTTGCAGATGACATGATACTATATTTAGAAAACCCTAAGACTCTACTAAAAGACTCCTAGAAGTAATATATTTGTATAATAAAGAGGCAGGCTACAAAACTAACACACAAAAGTCCATGGATGTTCCTATATGCAAATAATGAAAAGAGTGAGATACTGAAAAATATCCCATTCACAGTTGTGCATTAAAATATCAAGTACTGAGGAACAGATGTAACTAAAGAAGCAAAAGACCTATACAAAGAAAACTACAAAACTCTACTTAAAGAAATAAAAGAGAGGCTGCAGCAACAGTAGTGGGTAGGGCGTCTGCCTTGCACAAAGCTGACCTGGATTCAATCCCTGGCATCCCATGTAGTCCCCCAAGCACCACCAAGAGTAATTCCTGAGTGCAGAGCCAGGAGTGACCCCTGAGCATCACTGGGTGTGACCCCAAAAAAGCAAAATAAATAAGTAAACTTAAAAAAAAAAAAAAAGGGAAGAAGAGCCCATTTCCCACTCCTATTCTTTCGGAAATCCTGGCAGCCACACTCCCAGAGCTGCTGGCATGTCTCACCCATCAGTACTGATCTATCGATTCATGACTAAATCTCGGAGGAAATGCAATCCAAGCAGCAAGAATCCATGGATTGGATCCATTGGTCTACAGGCTGAAAACTTTGGGGCGTCCTTCAAATTCCACAATACTGAAATTCCAGTAGGACCACACCAAAATTAAATGGAAATGTTACCACAGACGCCAACTAAACTCAATAAACAAAAACACTAACACAGAAGGTTCAAGAAGCAACAAGCAAATTAGTAAATCCTCAGACTTAGCCCCATGATGAGACGTAAAATTTTTTATAAATTTCCTTTTACTGAAGTATTTTTGATAATTCCATTAGCCATTAAATTGTAACAAGCAATATTAAATTATTGTGTGAGTGTTAAGGAAACAGGTTTGGGGATGATTTGAAAATTGGAGACAGTGATGGAGAAAAGGTCACTGGTGGTAGGACTGGTGCTGAAACATCAAAAGCCCATAATACAACTGTATTACGAACAACTTTTTAAACCACAGTGCTTAAATAAAGTATCTTAGAAAAAAAAAAAAGAAATAAAAGAGGCGACAAGGAAGTAAAAACACGTTCTCTGTTCATGGATTGGGAGGATTAACATTGTCAAAATGGCAACTGCCCCCCAAACATTATACAGATTTAATGTTGTCCCTATATGGATACCTTTGACATATTCCAAAGAAATAGATCTAATACTCCTGAAAGTCATATGGAACAATCATTGCCTCCTACACTTCTAACAGCCCGAGCAATCCTCGGGATAAAGGAAAAAGAAGATGAGAAGCATCACTTCCCCCAACTTAAGGCTGGCCCAACCTTTTTAGATATGGTCATTCCTCAAATGGAATTAAGCTTCCGGCAAGCTACCGAGAGTATTCGATATGCCAGACACAGTAACAACAAAGTCTCCAATGGAGACGTTACTGGGCCCGCTCGAGCAAAGCTTCTATATGATTCAGCAATTCCACTCCTTGGAATATACCCTAAGGGTCCAAAAGGACAATCCAGGTAAGATATCTGAACTCCTATGTTCACTGCAGCACTATTCACAATAGCCAAAATCTGGAAACAACCCCCAAGTGTCTCAGGACAGATGACTGAATAAAGAAAACCATAAGAAAAGATAAAGTCATGCAATTTGCTGTTACATGGATGGACCTGGTAAGTATCGTGAAGTTAGAAAGAGAGGGTCAGGCATAGAATGAGCTCTCTTGTATGTAGGATAGAAGGAAACTTTGTAAGGGAATAACAAAGCCCCAAAGACAATAGAAACAAAGAGCAAGAGAACTGGTCTTCAGTGAAAAGCTTACTACTGGGATAGGGGTAGAGCAGGAAAGGGGGAAAGTTATGGAAAAGAACATAGACAATGGTGGAGGGAGAAAAGTGTCTGTTCCAGAGGCAGGCTGGGAGTGGGTGGGGCAATGGGGGGGATGATGACACAGGGAACAATGGTGAAGGGTAGTAGACACTATCCAAATGATAGTTGTGGGAACACTGTATGCCTGAAGCTCAATCATAATTACCTGTTATTTTGTAATTCGCTGTAGTTCATTAAAAATGAAGCCAAATTCCATCTAAGGATAGTAGATACATGGGACAGATAGACTGCTCCATAGCTGGAAGCCTGCCTCATGAACAAAGGGGAGAAGGCAGCTGGAATAGAGAAGGGATCACTAAGAAAAAGATGGCTAGAGGAATAGGTCGGGATGCGAGATGTGGGCAGAAAGTAGATAAAGGACCAAACATGATAATTTCTCAGGGTCTGTATTGCCAACCATAATGCCCAAAAGTGGAGAGAGATTGGGGAATCATGTCTGCCATGGAGGCAGGGGGAGGGAGGGAAAGGGAGGGTATACCGGGGATACTGGTGAGCAATGTGCACTGGTGGAGGGATGGGTGTTTGATTATTGTGTGACTGTAATCCAAACATGGAAACTTGTAACTATCTCATGGTGATTCAATAAAAATTGAAAAATATATATTAAAAAAAAAATAAAGTCAAAATCATTGAGACCCATCATTGTTACTGGTATTTGGCATATTTGGTACACCACGGGGAGTTTGCCAGACTCTGCCCTGTGGGCAGGCTACATTCGATGGGTCTCATTCTCCTAAAGAGCCTTGAATATCATCTCAGGGCTAGGATGAAAGAGACGTTACTGGGGCCTGCTCGAGGCAATCGACGAATAACAGGATGATGAATGAATGAATGAATGAATGAAAGTCAAAATCATGCAATTGCTGCCACTGGGGTAAAACTGTAGAGTATTATGCTGAGTGTAGTCTAAAGGAGAAGGACAGATACAGAATTATCTCTCTCATATGTGGGATATAAAGACAAAGTAAGGACATAACAAATGTCCTATAGCAATAGACCCTGAGAATTGTTCTCCAGAGTTAAGCATAGGGGTAACAGGATGGGGAGCAGGACAATGGAGGGAAGTGGACTGATGGGAGGGTATGGTGCTAGAATGCTGTATCCATGAAACCCTACCAGAAACAGTTGCAGAACAGTACTTAAAATTAAAAAAAAAAAAAAACCTTCATTATTCTGAACATGCTCTTTTATGCTGATATATGGCTAAAATGAAAAATTAGAATGACTTCCTTTCTTCTACTTTATTTTGAAGGGAATGTTACCAAATTTTCTTCAAAAGTAATTTTTAGCACTCAAAGCTAAGAAAACACAGGTAGCAAACCATTAGTTAAGGCTAACTGCCAAGCCTGAGAGACAGTACAGGAGGTAAGGTGCAGGCCTTGTATGTGGACAGACCCTGTTGATCCTGTCACACTACACGGTCCCTGAGCATCGCTGAGAGAAATGCTGGGAGGTCTGAGTATTGCCAGGGTGGCCCCGGCAATTCCTCGCACCACAGTGCCCTCATACTGGACCACTGGCCAGTGGGACACTGCAAAAAAGGCCTATTGCAAAGACAATCAAATTATGTAATTTTAAAACTAGTTAATACAGAAAACAAAAAGCTGATCAGAAAAATATCAGCACATTTCACACAGATCCCGTATACAATGATTTATGAAACTTTTGTCATATATTTATTGAGTTAAAAAAAAAAAAACAACACCTGAAAATATACTGACAGGACTTGTAAAGAGGAAAAGAAACTTGGCAGACGTATGAAGGGAGAAAGGTGGAATGGGAAAACAAGGGAAAGGAAGGAAGTAATAGCAAGAAAGTTCTACGAGCATTATTCAAGTTTTAGTCAGCAAAGGCCTCAAATAGCATTAGAAAAGGAAGAAAGTTATAAGAAAAAAAAACAGCCTTCTTACATCTTCTGTGAATATGATGAAATCAAACTATTTGTGAAAAAGGTATCATATTTCCTTTTACGCACTCTACTCAAAATCTTTCAGAGATGTAGTAAACATTTGAACTCATTGTTTTCACTTTAAAGTTGAATTACAAATAATTCTTACTTTGCTCTCTCTTTCTAATTCACTTCTCAGCCATTCAAAGTCACTGTATCTTCTTCTAACAGTAGATTCCTTCAGCTTGAAAATAGGTAGATTTGTCTGAAACAACAAAAACAAAAACAACTCCTAAGATGAAGCATGTTACAGAAACTTCAAAAGATAGAGGTGGTGGGAATCTGTTTGTCAAATTAATAATACAACAAGCCCAGTTAACTTTAGGTAAGAAAAACATATTGTTTATTAAAATGACAATGCACTACAATAAAATAAAATTTGGTTAACAGAAAATACATTATTTACATCACAGAGCCAATTTTTTTTTTCTTTAAAATTCAAGGCCTCCAGGGGTTGGAGGAATAGCACGGCGGGTAGGGCATTTGCCTTGCACACAGCCGACCTAGGTTCGATTCCCAGCATCCCATATGGTCCCCCGAGCACCGCCAGGAGTAATTCCTGAGTGCATGAACCAGGAGTAATTCCTGTGCATCGCTGGGTGTGACCCAAAAAGCAAAAAAAAAAAAAAAAAAAAAAAAATCCAAGGCCTCCAGCATACAAGGCAAGCATGCTCCCAGGCCCAGAGAACAACTATTAAAATGAATATTCAGGAATAGTTTAGCAGTAATTTTTCTAGCTATATATGCAAGGTCTTGGATTTGATGCTTGGCACATAACTGGCTATGTTCAGGACTTATTCCTGGCTCTGAACTCAACGATCACCCCTGGCAAGCTTGAAGGACCATATGTACTGGGGATCAAACCTGGGTCGGTCATGTGCAAGGAAAGTAGCCTACCCACTGTGATATTTCTTTGGCCCACCAAAAAAACTATTTTGAATTTAAAAATAGGAGCAGGGGGAGACAGATTATAGCTCAAAGGGCTGGAAAACATGCTTTCCACACAAGGGTTCATAGATCCCTGGCACTGCCTGGGCCATGTAAGTAGCCAGTGCAGCCTCAAATTCTATAGGGGATAGCCCCTAAATAACCCCTTCAATAATAAAAGTAACTTTTTAAGAAAACAAATTTTTTCACATACGCTTTTTAGGCATTATAAATGGGCCAATTAAAAAGTTTTGGTGAAGGGGCTAGAGAGATAGAACAGTGGGTTAGGTGCTTGCCAATCGGGTTCAATCCAGGATTGATTTCCTGAGTGCAGACCCAAGAGTCAGCCCTGAGCATGGCCAGTTTGGCTCAAAAGCAAAACAAAAAACAAAAATTTCAGCGAGTTAAAAGTGAGAAAAATCATCTATTGTTGAGTGCTATCCTTGGACAATAGCATAATATAACCATGCTCAAAGGGAAAGAATAGCTTTACCTTTAAAAAAATACAAAAATTTTGTTGTAACTAGATTAAATCTAGCATGATAAAAAAATGTATAAAGTACTATTCTTAGAAGTCTCTTTCAAAATTCCGGAAAATAGGAGAGACTATATCAACTCCTCTTATAGGAGCCAAACAAATTAGATCAAGTTCAGAGATCCAGTTTTGTAAGCTGAGGGCAGGTTTAAGAACTGAAAATACAATGACCAAATACTTTGAGGTTACAGAGGTATGGAAGAAAACTTTTACAGATTGTCTTTATTTTTATTTATTTATTCATTCACTTTTGCTTTTTGGGTCACACACTGCGATGCTCAGGGTTTACTCCTGGCTCTGCATTCAGGAATCACTCCTGGCAGTGCTTGGGGAACCATATGGGATGCTGGGAATCGAACCCGGGTTGGCTGCGTGCAAGGCAAACGCTCTACCGCTGTGCTATTGCTCCAGCCCCCAGACTGTCTTTAATGAGACTGCACAAACCACCTGAAAAGTAACAAGAATAACTTCTATTTTCACTTTTACCTATAGAGAAAATATACTACCAAATCCAAATTGAAATGGTTTATAATTAGAAATTATTAACAAAAGTTGTATACCTTTATTATTTTATCAAGAATATATTCTAATAAGATCCAAAGTATGCAAGGGACAAAAAAAAATCAGTTAAGGCTAGAGCATACTAAAAATTCCATCTAATATACATATATTGTCATATTGTAGTCTTTCCTAATTCAGTCTTTGCAGGAGTAGAATTGTAAACCATTTTGCTAATGAAGGTGATGTGTCATCAGAAGGGAAAACTGGCTTTCTATTTTCCAATATTATCATTACGTAAAATTCACTATACTCAGAAGAAAATTCCAATCATTTGTTAAGTTTAATGCCATTGGTAATTGTCACTCAGAAAAAGAAAAGCTTTTTATTCAGGACCTTAAACTCATTTTTTAGTGGTCTCTATTTTTCTCAAAGTGTATTAACTTCTCTATGTTGTACACCTTATAGCTTGAAATCTTTTTACAGATGCTATTGGGCACAGTGTGTAGGTTTCAATCAAGAAACCAAATCTCACAAGAGGTTTAAAAGCACTTGAATTTTCTTTCCCAGGTAACCACAACATTTGTTCATTGTATTAATGACTAAGAGCAAAATTGCACCTAACAAGACTCTTATTATACTAAAAGTCAAGCTTATATTTAGAGATGCTGGCTTGCTGTACAAAGGGGTATCCTCATTCCCTGCAGAGAACAAAATTAGGTCCCCTGGAGAGTAGGATGATAATTCCCAGAAAGAAAGTACTGGATTATTTCTCTCTAATTTCACCCATTGGCTTTTTAACCAAGTTCACCCTTCCGCATTAAAATATTAAGTCTTTGTAAGTGTCTAAAGATAGAAAGGTCTTTACAGAATTGAGTGTTTTCTGCAGGTGAGATTTTACATTTCGAATTCCCTCCTCTCAAATTACTTTACAAAAGGGATTAGCTGCTCTCTTTATTCAATATGTTAAGATCAAGCTTGTGAAAAGAGTTCCCTACGAATTTTCATACTTCTGGGTACGGAAGTCTATAAAGTTAATCTCTGAAACAACATATCAAGCTTACAGGTACAATGTTAAGGGAAGACTGCCAATTCAGCTCATTTTACTTTCCATTTTCCCTTTTGAACTTTTGACACAATCATGATTATATCTCTCACCTTAATAGAAGGGGAGGGAAGAAAAAGTCCATTCCTTTCTATGATTTGCTAACAGTTTAATAAGAGTAATAAAGAATGACAATATCAAGAATTTTCTTAAACTAAACACAACCTTTTATATTTGTGCGTATTTTTTCAGATGACTATAACATATATAAAGTCTACTTCAGAATTCTATAAATCATGTCAAGTAATCCTTACTGTTAATTTGCCCATTATTTAGAGCAGTCTGCTAACTTCTTCCTGATTATCACAAATGACTTTTCAATTTAATCAATTTGTTTTGTTTTGGGGCCACACCTGGTGTTGTTCAGGGATCACTCCTGGTGGAGCTCAGAGAACCATACAGGGTACCAGGGGTCAAACCTGAGTCTGCTATGTGCAAAGCAAGCTCCTATCCATTGTAATATTGCTCTGGGCCCTCAATTTATTTATTTTTAAAATTTTAATTAGTGAGACATCATGAGGTACAGTTGCAGACTTAAAAATTTTTATGCTTGGTTTTCAATTATACAATGATCAAATACCCATCCCCCCACCAGTGCCCATTTCCCACCACCATGGATCCCAGTATCCCCCCCTGCCTCTGTGGCAGGGCATTTCCTTTTGTTCTCTCTTTCTTATTGGGTGTTGTGGTTTGTCTGGGCCCTCAATTTAAAACTCTTATAAAATGACTTATTTTTGATTCTTAAAAAGACTTAAGGATAATTTTTTAAAAATTTCCCTATAGTTTTTTGAGGAGCCAACTATTCTTTTTTCAAAAGATTTTATATCAAGTCACCAAGAATTGGGAAGTTATTCATTACTGAGTTTCAGGCACACAATCAACAATGTTGCCTTTAACGGTGCCCATTTCCTTCCACTATATCTCTAGTTTCCCTCCCACCCCACTGCTGCCTCTGTGGCAGGCATTTTGGCTCTGTGATTTAGAATACTGTTGCTCATGGGGTATCATGTATTCTATCTCCCTTTCCCCAGTGGTAAGCTTCCTATTGACAACCTTTCTCATGCTGTCTTTTTTGTCTTTGGACATCTGGTATTCCTCTACTATGCTTCTTTATAACCAAGATATGAGAGATCATTCTGTATCTCTCTCTCCTAATTTCACTAGTCATGATACTCTCCAGATTTATTCACATGGCAGCAAGATGCATGATCGAACCTTTCCTTATGGCTGAGTAGTAGTTCATTGTGTACATGAACCACAGTTTCTTTAATCATCTGTTCTTAGGCACCAGCATTGCTTTCAGATTTTGGATATTGTGAATAGTTCTGTAATGAATATAGGGGCATGAATGTGTTTTCTGTATATGTCTTTTATGTTTTTAGGTCTTGGGTTATATTTCAAGGAGTGTAAATTGCTGGATCATAAGAAATTTCAATTCCTAGTTTTCTGAGATATTGTCCTAATTGTTTTCCAAAATGGTTCTACTGGTCAAGATTCCTGACAGCAGTGAATGAGAGCACCCCTTTTACCCCACTGCATCCATGCCAAAACTACTACTTCTTCCTCTTTTTTTAAAATATATGCCAGTCTCTGCTGTGAGGGGACATCTCATTGTTTTGATTTCCATTTCTTTGATGATGAATGATGCTATTTTTTTCATATGTCCTTTGGCCATCTGTATGTCTCTGAGGAAGTTTCTGTTTGTCTCTTCTCATTTTTTGATGGGATTGGATGTTTTTTACCTTGTAAAGTTCTACCAGTGCTTTATCTATTTTGAATACTGATTCTTTATCAACATGAGTTGCAGGCAATTATTTTCTCCCAGTCTGTGGTATGTCTTTTGTATTTTGGTCATCATTTCTTTTGATATGCAAAATCTTCTAATTTAACGTAGTTCCATTTGCTTATCTTTGCTTCTGCTTGCTTGGTCAGTGGTGTTTCATCCTTAAAAGAGTTCTCTAGCTTTAATGTTATGATGAGCTCTGCTTACATTTTTCTCAATGTAACTCATGGATTTAAGTCTGATATTGAGGTCTTCAATCCATTTTCACTTGACGTTTGTGTGCAGCATTCATTTTTTGGCATGTGTCTGACCAGTTTTCCCAATACCACACCTGGCTTACCTTGAAGAGTCAACTAC